TATGAGCGATATTTTAAGAGGATTGCCACAGATCTGGTTATCAATCACATTCCTAGTTTGAAATAGAGTTTCTACTCAGTTTTATTTAATATCAATCGAGGCTGGCTTAAATGCATGTTATTTCTATGGTTTTGAATGCAGTGACTTATGTTATTTAGCTTTGGATATGAGTTTCATTTTGTAAAATTAAGTTGAAGTTATTTAGGTTGGGGTAGAAGGTTTAGTCCTTAGATGAGCCTACCAATAATCCAAGCAAAAGACAAAGATGTAATCCCGACATATAAAGTAGGCAAGCTTATCGAGTGAATACAGACAAAATCACAATATGGGTAAAGATCCCGACTTTTATATGTCAATGTGATGTATGCGATTATATTCTTAATTTTCCTTACTTATAATTCTTACTTTGCAACGTTGCTAAGAACTTGATCATCAGCAATAGTCAGACAAAAACTTGACTTCGAAGCAAATAAAAATACAATTATTATATTCAAATATGGGATACTACGCAACTATACATATTGTTATCAAGTAATATAAGACTTTTTGATTAAACCCCAAATATCGAACCCAAAGAGAGAACTACAATATGCAACTACAAATCAGAAGAAATTAGATAACAAATTCTACTTAGCAAAATATTCAAAAAAATGGATAGCTTAAACATCAATCATCTAATAACCCTGGATGTTATAGATATGACTTTCGTTAAGAAAGGTAGAGGTAGACCTAGAAAGATCAGGGCACGTTGTCTAAAAATTTATCTCAGCCTGCTAAAATTAAATGAAAAATATGACATTCAGTTGGATGCAATAAAGAAAAAAGATTCTTGAATGTATGTAATATATGAGATTCGTATTATCTGAACAACTTATATCTAATTGTAATGATTAATAGAACTACAACTATGTTGCAGATGGATATTCAAAACATACGATCATGGATGTATAACAGATTATATCTAGGAAGAAAAGGACTTTTTGGCAATGTTGAGGAATTCAGTTTTTGTAGTTGTGAACTTTGAACACTTAGATATGTTTTTCTTTAATTTAATTTATTATCATTGCTTTGACATGTTGGAGATTTATTTTTTTTCAATTGTGATGATAAAGCAATATGATATTATATTGCTTGTGTTCCTTCTATGCAGTCCGCGTGAGAAAGAGAGGGAGGCGTGCATTTTTTTTTTTAATTTTTATTTATTTATTTTTATTTGGGGGAGTTAGATTAAGATTTGGGTGACAAAAATGTAATTTTCTTTTATTCAAATTTGTGCCGATTTTGAGTCGTTTTCATTGCGCATCAAACTATAGCAAATTTTATATCGATTCCTACTATTTTCGATGTTCCGGACGCAACGGCCCAGTTTGTTTCGAAATCCGAGGTCGTTCGGGCAACTTCGTTCACAATAGGCCAAAAAACGTCGAATCCGATTCGACTCAAAATTCCGACTCGTCATCGATCGAAAACAAAAGAAGTTCAATTTCATGAAATTGTGGGGTGTCGGAAGATTCTGTGAATTTTTGGGAATTTTCAAAAATTTTTTGTTTTGAAATTTGAAGAATTTTGCCCCGGGAGAGGCATTTTGGTCATTTCGGGGAAATTTTGGGAATTTTGTCAAAAAGTCAAATCAAAGGCTCGAAGCAATATAAAATGAAATTTGGAGTTGAACGAAAGTGTTTGAGAGCAATTTTGACCAGTGTGGAGGATTTTGCGGGACCCGGAACAATTTTCAAGTATTAATTATTTAGGCTACGAGGGGTCCAAACATAGCTCGGAAGTATGGCATGTTTACAGTTAATTTTCTCAATTTGACGAGAGGAACGCTCAGGAACAATTTTCGGGGAGTTTGGGCGACTCTGTGAAGTTTTGGGTTTCAAATGATTTTGACAGCATCAAATGGTTTGAAGTGAATTTTGTGAATCAATTGGAATTTTGGGAAATTTTGATGAATTAGAACATTCAAGTGGGGTATTTTAAAGTAAACTGTGTTCAAATAATTTTGGTCAACCCCATGGGTGTAATGACTGCAACATTGTGATATGAAAATGCAATGTTTATGATGATCATGGTGATTATGAATGACGATGCAATGTATTGGAGTCCAAAAAAAAAGGTGTAGAACAGTGCAAGACTTTCCTATGGTCTAAAGGTCCTATAGGAATTCTCATCAGGGTTCTCTTATGTAATCTCTAATCTTTGTATTAAACATTATTAATCACATATAGAACCAACATAAGGAACAAAGACTTGGTTGAAATGTCTAAGGAGAAGGTGGGTACAATTTCTATGATGCTAAGATAGTCATTAGGAAATTCCTAAGGCTAGATCCTAGTCACTAAAAGAAAGACCCAAAACCCTCACCCAAATGTGAGGTCAACAGACACCAGCCTACAAATTTGTGTAATTGATCCCTTCCGCCCCCTTAACGAGCTATTATTGTCTTCTAGAAGTTACACTTGATCGCACCTAACTCCACATAAACAATTTATGTATACATTTATGTCACGACAATATAGATTGATGGATCCATTCAAATATGCATTGCTTGCTGCATATCATAGCTCTTTAATGAAGAAGATTTATTTAATGGATTATTACTTCAGCATTTACAAGTGTTGTGCTATATAATTGTCCTGGTATTTCTATGTAGTGCTGTTTTACACTAAGCAGTTATATTAACCACTATTGTAGCTTACTTGGGCAAGCTCTGTTGCTTTTGCTATAACCAAACTATATCAGAATCCAGTCCAAATACTACTCAAACCAAATTCAAACCAAGTCCAAAGATAGTTCAAAACTTACTCAACTATGTTCGAATATAATTCGAGCCTTATTCGAGCCCCATTCAAATTGCATTAAAATTTCATTCAAATATTATTTGAATAATGCTCAAACAAAGTTCGAATGGGGGCTCGAATAAGATTAAAATTTTCCTCGAGTCTAATTCAAACCTTGTTCAAAATTTGTTCAAACCATTGTTAATCATGATAAACTTTAATCAAGGACTTCACAATATAAAAAAAGAGATATTTAATCAAACTTTCAAGCATAATTTCCCAAGAAAATAAAAGAAATTTCTTCAATTTTGGCATATCTAGCCAAATTTCACTGAATTGATGATTTCAAAGTCTCTCTCCAGCAAATTTCGATTATAATAACTGAGCTAAATTCTTCATGGCAAGAAAAATTTTGGGTCAAAATGAGTCTTACCGCCATTATAATTGCTTCAAGGTAAGTAACACATAAACTTTGATTGATTGTTTATATATTACACTCATCTAAAATTATATTCAGTGGTTTTAAGACCCATGTCTTGACACATTTTTTTCCTATACAACAACAACAACAACAACAAACCTTTATTCCACAAAATGGCGTGGGCTACATGAATCATCTTCTCCTTTAAAGAATTCATGTCATGACTTTATGCCGGTTGTCAACTACCTAACGCAACCAACCGTTTTTCTCATATGGGGCTCGAAACCCAACAATGACAGTGTTCAGCAATTTTTTTCCTATAGCAAATAAAAACCAGATAATTTTTTTCCCTAAACCCAAACTCCATATATAATGAGAGAAGAAAACTAAATAACCAAATAAACCAGAAATAGTCTCCAAATACATCTCCAAATACAACAAAATAAACCAAAAAAAAAAACAAAAACCCTATAATAATCTCATGCATATCAAAGCAATATTAAAAAAAAACAATATGGCTTGAACATCTGATGTTACTTAATCCTTACCTCATCAACTAACATTTCTCTCTAAATCTGAAGTTAAATTTGGCAGAGACCCACCTTCTTCAGTCCAAAGCATAATCTTTTCTAATCAATCTTCACTGAAGAGAAGAGATAGTGAACAAAATATAAGGATGTGAGAAAACCAATAGTACCTGTTACCAGCATCACTGCAAAAGCCATTATGAGAGAATATCCAAGGTACAGAATGGCTGATACAGGTCCACTCAAGCTCCTCAAGTCAAATATCAAGTAATTAATGGAGTAAAGGAAGACATATAATGCCACAGAACCAGAAGCATAGAAAGCCTTCCACCACCACCTCCAATCCTCAACACAGAGGTGCATATACGTCAGCACCACCGAAACCTCAGCACAGACGACGACGAGCAGAATAAAGACAACGAGCAGAAACCCAAAGACATAATAGAACCTCCCGAGCCAAATGCTGGAGAGGATGAAGAAGAGTTCAATGAATAAAGTGCCGAAGGGAAGGGTTCCGGCCCCAAGGATGAGAAGCCACGACGGATATTTCCGAGCTGGGATTTCTCTCGGAATCTGGTTCGTTCGAACAGGGTACTGTATGTGCTCTGCTCTGGTACCTAGGAATCCTCCAAGGAGAGTGAGAGGCACCGAAATACAGAACCACAATGCTAAGAGAGTGAAGAACAGTGAAATGGGGATCGCTCCGGTGCTGTTGCTGCCCCAAAGAATGAAATTTAAGATTGTTAAGATGACGAATACAATGCCGGGGAAGAAGCAGGCGATGAGCCAGGCTAACGGCCGCCATCCTTCCGACCCACCTTTGATGGTTCTCCATAACCGTACGCCAACGTAGCCGGCAGCAATGCCAAGGAAGAGATAGAGAAGGATCATTCCGGTTAAGAGCATTCCTCTTGAGGCGGGCGACATGAACCCGAGAGCGGCGAAAACTATGGTTACGACGGCCATCCCGGTGATCTGAATACCATCTCCGACCATTATACAGAGAAGCTTCGAGCAGTTTGGCTCGCGGAAGACATCGCCAACGACGAGCTTCCAGCCGGAGAGTTCCTCGTTCATCTGAGCCTGTGATTCCTTATCCAGTTCTTCGTATCTGGTCAAATCTCTTCGAACTGTCCTCAAGAATATAACAAAGACTATACCGGCTAGGAAGAAGATGACCATGACAGAGTTCATGATGGAGAACCAGTGAACCCTAGCACCGTCCATCTTCAAATACGCGTCCCATCGGGAGGGCCACCTTATATTGCTTTTCACGAATTCGACTTCGTAGGTGAAAGTTATTCGTTCTTGCTCGCGAATAACCTGAGACTTATCGAGCTCTAAAGGACAGATTACTGGATCAATCTTATCATACATATTAAGCTTTGACATGCTTTGAGGATCTCTTTTAACACTGCAAGGGATAACCTCAAATCCTACGATTTCATAACCAGACATTTTGTTCTTATCCGTTTCTGAGATAACTCCAATCCCTTCTTCCCCGGTGCCAATAATCTCCACACGTTTACCTTCATATTCATGAACCATGACTTTAAATTTCAGGTGATTAATAATGTAATCATCGTTGGTACCAGTTGGTGAGTAGCCAACAGGGAATCCAGTCCACTGGATTGTGATGCCATTCTGTTGAGTTAATCTCATGACAGGAAGATTATCAAGTATCATATTCACCTGGTACAGATCACGGGTTCTCTGTTTCAGTAGCTTCACCTCATGCTCGCTCAAAGCTTTGGTGGTGCAGAGGTAAATAGATTCGTTGACATTAACGTTGAATTTGTAAGGAGAGTTGTCAATTTGATCACCCATCAAGAGCTCTCCTAAATTTTCAGCACTTTTCTTGATCCCATCCTGGGGTTTGCAGTAGGGAAGAGAGTAGTAGTTGAAAGGAAGCTCGGTCTCAATTGAGGTGAGGGAATTCACTTTCACCCATATGGTTTCACCTTCAGAATAGGTGCGCATGTAGCTTCCCGGAAGATAGAATCCATTGCAATGACAGATAAGAAGTGGAAGAAAGAAGAAAAGCAATGAAAAGGATTTCATGCTCGTCAGCACAGTAACCAGTGACATAGAACACAACTATTTCCAATAATCAGAAACCTCCTCCTTATTGCAGATCTCAGATCTGAACCCCAAAATCCCAATCTCTAGAGATTCAAAAGCATCCTTCCATCTCCAACTAATCCTGAGCCATAAAAACGAGGAAATAAGGAAATAGGGATCTGGCAGGCGTTGGAACTGTTCTCACAATTAAAAGCTACGGATCTTTGATTTAAGAAACATCAAAATAAAAAAAGCGAACAACTAGAGATACAAATTTTAGCAATTAATGCAGTTCAATCTCTGAATACAAACAGAGAAATGAAAACAGAAAAACGGGAAAATTCTTCATAAATCAACCTGATAGATCCAGGCGTTAAATGCAGATTCATACCAAGTACACCACAGATCCAACTCAGAAACATGAAAAAAACAATGACGAAATCACAAGATGCCTTAATTTTAACGATTAAGCATTCACCAGACGACAATATTCAAATTCAAAGATCTAGGCATAAGTCAAATTTTCTTGCCCCGTAAACCCCAGATCCAATCTCATTCAGAAATCATTAAAACAAAACCCTAAAGCAAACTAATAGATATCAGAAATCTATGATCTAAGACCAAAAAACTCGCCTTATTCTAACCAAATTTGCTTCAATTCGAAGAAAAATCGCTCGAAGAAGAGCGGGCGAGAAGCAGGCGACTCCCTCTTTGAGATCGACGATCTGGTAAATGGAAATTGACAAAATGCATCAGATTCCTCTTTCTATATAAATAGACTAGTCGCCGCCATAGCTGAACCGGGTTCATTTAGATAAATCTTGGCCGTTAGATTGATCTCCAATGGCCAGATTTGCTCGATAAAATTAGCGGTCAATGATCGAACAAACTGATGTGACGTGGGCGGGACTACGGCTATGCATTAAAAAAATAAGGCAAGTGTTAAAATAAGCCTACTATTATTTCAGAAAAAAATATTAGAAGTTAATGTAATCACGCCACGATACCCCTGCAACAGAGAAAAAAAACGGTATAGTAATACTGGAAATATTTCTTCCGTGTTATTCATGTGTTATTGTGTTATTATATCACCGGGAATATTCTCAGGACACAATAACACATGAATAACACACAATAACACATAAATAACACGGGGGAAAATATTCTTCCGTGTTACTGCGCCGTTTTTCTATGTCGGGAATATTCTCTGTGTTATTCAGGTGTTATTGTGTGTTATTCATGTGTTACTGTGTCCTAAGAATATTCTTGGTGTTATAATAACACATTAATAACACATGAATAACATGCAATAACACATGAATAACACACAATAACACATGAATAACATAGGGGGGAATATTTCCCGTGTTACTGTGCCGTTTTTTTTTTCCTGTCACGCGGGGTGTCGTGGCATGATTTCATCATTGACTACGCATGTTATTTCTACGTGTGTAATACTGATGTAATATATTTTCATTATTTCATACATATATATCCATTCATCAAATGTAATTTTAACTGGTATTTTGCTATCACTAATATTTTAATTACTTGATCGTAGTATAAAAACATATATTTAATAATTTAATTTTTAAGATAAATAATGAAATTGTAAGTGCAAATTGCTTTAATGACACGTGTGTGATTTTATAAAGAAAATATAAACTAACTTTTACCCAAATGCACATTTTTCATGCTCCCTAAGCTGTCCATTTGTCCAAATAAATATATGTTTTGCAAAAGAAGACAAATAAATTAAAAAAAATAATTGTGAAACTGCTGTAAAATAAACTAATGTTAAAAAAGGTGAGACGATTATGACAAAATTTTTAAAGTCGGACCGTAGCTTTTTGGCAGACAATGTACTTGAACAATTTAGATTGCAAAACAGAGTTTTCTACTTAATATTTTTTGAAAAAACTTACAAAATTGTATTTTGTCAAACAGGAAAAATGAGATGCTTCAATCATATCGCTGGCCCAAACGCACCCTTAACGTGAAATCATAAAACACTCTTTGTTAGTATATATTATTTGCAAATAATGGTTTTATTAGCTCAAATGAAGTCTTAAAAACATATTGATCATTTTTTATATTAATATATAATATAATCTTCATGCATTCATACAAATTTATTATTTTTTAACAAATTTAATATAAAACAAAAAATATTTTTTTATTAAATAGAAGACAATTATACAACACCATACATCTATACCACTTAACCTAGGTTTAAAAAGATGGGGCTCAAGTTTTTAAAGTTATTAATAGTGATATTTTAAATGTAAAATGAAGATTTTTGAGGCAATAAATGTAAAAAATGAAGTTTAGGAGTTAGATATGTAAATACATAAAATTATGAGCTATGTATGTAAATAACCCAAGCTAAAAAAATTAGATAAAACCAATTAACATTAATACCATTGAACCCATAGATAACTATGAATATCCGCATTTAGTTGAATGAGAAGACTATTTTTGTTGCATTAGAAGCTTGAGTTAAAAATAATAATAATAAACTTCCATCATCAATATTATATATATATTATAGCTGAAAAATAAATGAAAAATTATTCAATGTCAAAGTTTAGAGAACCCATAAAATTGTCAACAAAAACTTATGTTTCAAAGGTTTGGCACAGTCCAAATTATGCACAAACCAAGCCATCACATGAACTATAAGGATGATTTGCATAAATATCACTTAATTCTTGTGTATTTACATATCTAACACTTGAACTTCAATCTCGACATATATGCCCCCTACTATATGCATTAAAACGTGTATTTTACATTTTAAAAGCTAAAATAATGGTATTTTAATGTAATGTGAAATAATTGGGCGGTATAGACGTAAAAATAAAAATTTTGTTGGTATATATGTAAACACACAGGAATTGGATGGTATGTATGTAAATGCCCCAAACAATAAATAGCATTCTATCATATAAGAACATGGATATCATAAGAACTACAAGATTGGCAAACTTCGAGTTTGGTAAAATTACCTCTCTACTTCAGCATTGTATACTTGAAAACTTCCCAACATCCATCTTTGAAAAAGTTTGCATCTTTACAAACCACTGTCACCAAAAATCTCCACATTTGCACAATCCTCCTTCAAAATGGTGAAACCGGCTCGCATCTCTCACAATGATCGCTCGCTTAGCGATCAATGTGATAAATTTAATGGCAGTATGACAGTCCCCACAAACTCGTAAATTTTTAGTGACGAATATCGGTCGATCACCTTTTAAACTCAGTAGAGAGAATGCTATTGCTAACTTCTCACTGTGGTAAACAAGAGCGTCTTCCTTCTCCTCCTCCTCCACATCCTGCATCACAAAGCTTGTATCAGCCCTGTAACCAATCTTCCTCATCTCACCAAATAAATCACTCAGCTTCTCACATATCTTCAAATATTGTGGATGTGAGCTATCTCCACCTATAAATCCATGGACTTTACCATCAATCTCAACCCAACTACATCCCGGACTCTTCTTCAGTCCCTTCTCCTTCTGCATTATTCTAACTCGTGCCGCTTCTCCATATCTTCCGGCGGTACTGTATATGTTCGACATTAGAACGAAGTTTCCTGTACTTTCAGGTCCTAACCTTTCAATCATCTCTGCAACCTTGCTCCCAAGTTTGGCATTCTTATGTGTTCTACAAGCTGCAAGCAAGGCACTCCATACACGAACATCGGGTTCGAATGGCATCCTAATGGCAATATCGTAGGCCTCAGATAATAAACCTCCACGCCCGAAAAGATCGACGATGCAGATATAGTGCTCCATTCTTGGAACAATGTTGTAAACTTTGGTCATGGATTCAAAACAACCCCTTCCCTCTGCGACTAATCCTGAATGACTGCAAGCACTAAGGATGCTGATGAATGTGATATCGTCTGGTTTAAACCCCTTGGCCCGCATCGAGTCGAAAAGAGAGAGAGCTTTGGTGCCAAATCCATGGATTCCATAAGCAGATATCATAACATTCCATGTTATTGTGTCTCGATCTTTCATCCCATCAAAAACTACACTAGCGATGTCAATTTTTCCACATTTTGCATACATATCAATCAAAGCGTTGCAGATAGAAACATTGGATGAGAGTCCAGATATGATCACGTAGCCATGGCTGCAGCTTCCGTGCCGTAAGGCAGACATATAAGAACAAGCAGGAAGAAGGACGACCATCATCGCCGCATCTGGTTTCGTGCATGAAAGTTGCATTCTCCTGAATATGGAGAGTGCTTCTTCCGTGCTTCCATTTTGGATGAATCCAGACATGATTGCGCTGTAAGATACAGTGTCTTTCGATTCCATTTCATTGAAGAAGGAAGATGCATCACATATGCTTCCAATCTTCGCATACATTGAGAGAAGAGAATTACTTACAGTTATGTCTGAGAGAAAACCAGATTTGATCAAATAACAATGAAGTTTCCTCCCTCTTTTTAAATTTGACAAACTCGCACAAGCCCGCAGAACACAAGCAAGGGAGGTGGACGACATGTTTGTAGCTGCATTAAGCATTAGCTGATCAAAAATCACCAAAGCCTCGACCATCTTCTCGCATTGAACATATCCCCCAATCATCGCGCTCCAAGTAACATCATTTTTAAGACTTACTTCTTTAAATATGGTGAGGGCGTAATCCATTGACTCACACTTTGCATACATGTCGAGTATTGCAGTGTTCACTAAAACATCCCCTTCGTGAACAGATCTCCCTTCCCCTGTAACAAAGCCTTGGCTTCTCCGACCACAGGAAGAATCCCCACCATTGTTGAACTATTTGGATTTGTCCCTCTCCTCTGCATTTCTAATACAAATCCGACTGCATCATTGTATAAACCGTGCAAGGAAAAACCAGAAACCATGGCATTCCATGCAACCACGTCTCCATTTTTTACTTGTAAGAACACGAGGCGAGCTTCATCCACTCGTCCACATTTCATGTACATGTCAATTAAAGATGTTGAAATATACAAATCACAATCCAAACACATTCTCTTTGCATGATTATGAATCTCTATTCCTTCTTCCAGAGCGAGAAGGGTAGAACAAGCTTTGAGAACAAATGGAAAAGTGTACTTGTTTGGTGTTACGCCGAAATGAATCAAACGATAATAGAGATCTATTGCTCGATCGAAGGGACCCTTCCAAGCATAAGCTCTGATCATGGCGTTAAATAAAAAGATAGTTGGTTTAGGAATCTCATCAAAAATGAGATGAGCAACCTCGGTTTTGTTGGATGATAAGTAGATTAAAGATAGCTTCTCGAGAAGGGCGGGATGATGGACATGGGCTTTGCTCCAAAGAATTTGTTGTTGGATTTTCTCCATGTGAAGAAAGGAATAGGATGAAGTGAGGATGAAACTATGGCGGATTTTAGCATGAAAAATGTTAGGGTTAATGAAGAGAGATAAGAAAAGAGGGCCTGAATGGGAAAGGAATCTTTTTTTTATCACTAACATCGCCTACTGCAAGATGTGGTGGTTGTAAAATACATACCATTAGAGAGCCAATACATGAAAACAAAAATGAAGAAATAAAATCAAATTTTGTAACTAATTTAACTTATTCTAATGAAGAGTCACTACATAACACATTTGTTGCAATTGAAAATCTCAAGGACAGTGAAAACATTTGGTTTAGTCCCACATATAACGATTGATAAATGTTGGTGTAAGAACTCTTCTATATTTGTTTTAGCCCTCTTCCATAAACTTAAGCTTTTGGAATGAAAAAAAATTTGATCGCTAATGTATCAAGCCCAACTTGAGTCTCCTTTTGGGCTACCTTCTTAAGCAAGAGGTATCGAAGTCAATAATTTGTTAATGATGTGGTGGTTTATGGCATTTGTTGACTTCAACGAAGATTGAGTAAAGTTCAAGAGTACATGACTCCTCCCATGATAGCTCCATGTAATTGAGTAGACTCTTGTTACATAATATCTTAAACCCAAAGAAGAAAAGACAAACACCCATTAGTTCAGTGATAGCTGATGTAAAGAACACTCATATGAGAAGGAGATTGAAGGCAAATGAAAGAAGTAGCAAAGTAAGACAAGATTGGTCTCTCTCTCCCAAACAAATCTAACAGAGAAAACGAAAAAAAAAAACAAAACAAGAACATTAAATTATTGCCTGACTCCATAAATCCCTGCAGATACTCGATGATAACGAGTTAATGAAGTTTGCCATCAAATCCGTTCGTCGTAGACAAAAAAGGGACACTGTTCATTGGTGATGTCCTTCGTCGAAACAAAAAGAATTCCATTCCATCAAATTAAGAAATCGATATAAGAACTCTAAGGGTGCTTTCAGGTTACCAGATTTTGGGAGCTTCCCAATGTGATTCGGAGGGAATCAGAGCTTCCGCTGCTCGATTATATGTATGTAGCGGGGGGACGCCATTGCTGCTCTCCTGAATAGCTTTGAAAGATGACAACAGTGATGGTGACGGCGGCGGAAACTGAGGCAGACGGTGCGGCGGACGACGGTAGTGTTGAATTTTGCGGGAATTTTTTTAGGGCGGTCGAGACGCTTGAAACCGGATTTCTCATCCGAATGTTCATAATTTCTGTGTCATTGGCTAGTACCCACCGGGGTCGAGATGTAATTTGTAAATTTATTTCTAAAATTTACAAATAGCACCCAATTCTTCTCCATTAATGTATCTCACACTAAAAATTTTAATTTTTACATGCAGTGGTCCAGCCTGGTGAGGAGTATGAAATGAATGTTGTCTTTGAAAAATTAAAGTTTTGGTGTGAGGTACTTAAATAGATAAAAGTTGAGTGTCTCAAATTATGTGGTAGCTAATGATTGTAATATTGTTAATTGATCATATATGTTTAGTTTGTGACTGCAATATCGTCAATTGTCTAAATATGTTATAGTTGAATGTTGTAGTAGTAGTTAGTCACATAAGTCATAGTTGTAAGTCATATTAATTTATCATATGAATCGTGGTTTGGAGTTGCAATAATATTAGTTAGTCATAAAGATTGTAGTTGAAGGTTATAATTGTTAGAAAAAGTGGAGCCCGATCCACTATGCTTGGGCAGTTTATTTACTTTGGAGAGTCACACCTTATCAAAAATAATCACTCCCGTCTTCCTCTTTTATGAAGTGAAGCATCTCTTCGCTCTCGTGATAAAAGCTTCATGCAACCTTCCCGTTGACTTCTTCAGATATTTGATAGACTTTCTAATGTTATAAATGATGTCATTAATCCCTCTCAAACCAACTTGCACCATAATATTCAATATATGTGCACGGCACGAACATGAAAGAAATATTCATTAAAATGCAATTTCCCTCTTGTCATAAAATTTGATTGGAGCAAGCTAGTAGCAACATCATTATTACTAGCGTTATCTAAATTGATAGTAGATACTTTGTCCTATATCTTTCAATCTAACAATCAATCACAAATGAATGTGTCAGTAAAAGGTGGATCCAATTCAATGAAATTAATAATTCATTTTTGCATCTTCCAAGTCTGATCAATGTAATGAGCAGTTAAACACATATATTTGATTGTTTGATTGAAAGTCCAACAATCAAAGGTTAATGAAAACCTGTGAATATCCCTAAATTGCTTTATGAGCTTCTCTTTTTTGAACTTATAAATCTTTATGCAATCAGTTTTTATTGTGTTCCTTGAAACTTTCTCATAATTTGAGTTCAAGAACTTCAATAAAATGTTAAACCAAGTATGTTCAACAATATTAAAATGATACGCATGCACTATAATCATTTTGAAGATTATCTCCCTAATCTTATGTTGATCATAGCTTTTTGGATCGTGAAAAATTGGAATCTCAACATCTGCTTCAAAATCAGTTGGCATAAAATTCAACATTTTCTGTTTTCTTTCAGAAAGACCAACAACTTCTTTAGTTTTAGCTTTGATTTGTCTGCATTCCCTCACATGACGTAAAAGTTGAGAAGTAGTTCCTGTTTTAGATTTTTGAAATTTTGTTCGACAACAAATGCATAACAAAAAAGTAGTTTGGACTCCTTTAATCGAAAATATTGCCTCAACAAAATACTCTCACACTACTGACTTCCTCTTCCTATCATTCTTATTAAAGACTTCTTCACTGCTATTATCAATGACAACTTGAGGTACTACTCCTGGCTCTATACTTGGTAAATTAATATTGGCAATATCGTTGCTATTCTGAGCTTCTGGTAGCAATTTATTATTGGATGAATCTGATTGTGAAAGATTTAATTCGGACATATTTGCACTTGCACACTAACTAAAATCAAAACTACGGAATTAGTATTATACATGCATACATAGATGCAACCATAACCATATATTGACTTCGCAACATTACCAATTTACCATACCAAATAAAACATGCAAAAGACACATACCAAATAAAACCATTCAAATCTGACTCGATGTAAACTAGTGTAGGGTACTACAAAAGATGCATAATAACATGACCATTAAAAAAATTGATGCTCATATTTCCTGACCAGCAAGGCTGGTCTACATAACTTGAACTCAAGTATTCATAAAATTGATAAGCAAGAACTTAGCATTCATTTTCTTGCTTATAAACATACACAGATCTTGCTCTATAAACATACACGAAACTCAAGTATTCATCTTACATAACACTTGAAAAACATATGTTATTGTTTTGAAAAGCGAAAGAAGCATAGTATAGTATTCTTCACAAAAAAAATTCTTATCTAGAAGCAATAGCTGAACCACATATGAATCACCAGTGAATATGTAATGCTTCTCATTATGAGTCTCCATTATAATATGTCTAACATTATAAAGCAGTCCCAAAAATTTTGATCTAGAAGCAATAACCGAACCACATAATAACCACATAATGATTCACGAACCACATAATGATTCACCACACAATGCAAGCCAAACTAAATTTCACAACAATGCTGATCTACATAACTTGAACTCAAGTATTCATATTAAATGTTATACTTTGGTATTATTTTAAGAAATTGCATATATAAACAGGTTGTTGAAGCCGAATTAAACTTCACAACAAGGCTGATCTCCAACAACATCTCCAACTCAAGTAATCTTATTATATGAAGCATATACGATCTTGCTCTATTAACATAACTTGAACTCAAGTATTCATAAAATTGATAAGCAAGAACTTAACATTCATTTTCTTGCTTATAAACATATATGGACCTTGCTCTATAAACATACACGGAACTCAAGTATTCATCTTACATAACACTTGGAAAACAAATGTTATTGTTTTGAAAAGCTAAAGGAAAGAAGCATAGTATTCTTCACAAAATAAATTCTTATCTATAAGCAATAGCCGAACCACATATGAATCACTAGTGAATATGTAATGCTTCTCATTATGATATGTCTCCATTATGACATGTCTACCATTATAAAGCAATCCCAAAAATTTTGATCTAGAAACAATAGCTGAACCACATAATCATTCACCACACAATGCACGCCGAACTAAATTTTACAACAAAACACTTAGATCAGATCTCATATTCTCATCCATAGAAAAAAAAAACAAATATATAAATGCAATATGCAAGACTGCACTGTGATTCTGCCAAAAACCTAAACAAAGCTAGGTTTCTCTAAAAAAATTCAAATAAATCTAAAATAAATTTAAGTAAATATAAGATAAGAGGCAAACCAAAAGATAATATGAAATATTAGAGAGAAGATACTCAGAGATAACACCTAGGTAGACAAACGAGCGACCAAGCAAGAATACCGAGCAATCGAGCCAACATTGCTATCTGAAGAGATATACAAGTACATATTAGAAGACGAACAAAGAAGACAAACCCACGGCAAACCCTAAGTTGTTGCGACCTTCGGCCAAAATGATTTTTGAAAGAAGAACGAGAAGAGTTAGAGGGAGAGTGGGGGAGACAGCCGAAAGTGAGAAAGTTCGAGAGAGCCGAGAGAAATGGGGAGGCGGGGTCCGATCTATATATTATTATTAATATTTTGTTGTATATAATAATTTAAAGAATTAAATTTTATATAATATGACAATTTTTCTTTAAAAAAACTAATTAATTAAAATTTATAATATTTAATTTTATGAATATTTATTATGTATATATTTATTTAATTATTTTTTTCGAGTCAATTCGAGCCTAACACGAGCGAACAAACTTATGTTCGTGTTCGGCTCGTTTACAATTTGAGCTTAAAAAAAATGTTCGTGTTCGGCTCGTTAAGCTTAACGAACGAGCCAAACATGAGCTAATTAACAAGTCAAACACGAGTTGTTCGCGAACAATGAGCCAGATTGGCAGACCTAATCTCGGTGTAGAGTTTCTTCTGTGTATCCCGGTATAGAGAGAGAAGAATAGAGAGTGAGCAACGAAGAGTGAGAGATTCTTCTTGTAAGTCGAGGTGATCGACTGATATAAATTCCTCAAGTGGTAAAATACTCTGGAATTCCGTGGATGTAGGCAATTTGCCGAACCACTTAAATCTTTGTGTTCCGCTGTGTTGTTCTTTTTCTGGTGTGATTTTTCTATTTCTATTTTTCATTTCGTCGATCGTTCTCTTGTTTTATTCATATATATATCACATCAACTGATATATCTGATCTCGCAATAATAATAACTGGTATTAGAGTGTGGTTTCAGATCTGAGGAAGAATGATGGCTGCATATGAAGTGAATGATTCAGGGATTGAGAAGTTTCATGTCATAGATTTTGGTTATTGAAGAATGCAGATAAAGAATTATCTTTATGTGAAGAAGCTTCATCTTCTGTTATTGGAGAAAACACCTGAAAGGATGGATGAGGCTGAATGAAATTTGTTAGATCGACAAGTTCTAAGGGCTATTCGAGTAATCATATCGAGGTCCGTTGCACACATCGTCGTTAAGAAAAGGACGACTGCATATCTTATGGTAGCCTTATCAGGTATGTAAGAAAAGTCATCGGAGAATAACAAAATGCACTTAATGAAGAAGTTATTCAATTTGAAGATAGCGAAAGGTGTTTCTGTTGCTCAACACCTGAATGTTTTCAATAATATCACAAATCAATTGTCTTCTGTGGAAATTGATTTTAATGATGAGATATGTGCACTGATCTTGTTGACTTCATTGTCAGATAGTTAGGAAGTCATGAGAATAGCAGTTAGTAGTTCTGCAGGTAAATTTAAACTGAAATATGATGATATTCGTGATTTGATTTTGGCTGAGGAAGTGCGCAGGAAAGATTCTGGCGAGGTCTCAGGTTTGAGTTCGGCACTGAATGTTGATTTCAGAGGGAGATGACATGACAGAAAATCAAGTATAGGGAGATCAACATCAAAGTTTAGTAAGCAGACAACCTGTTAGAATTATGGCAAGACTGGCCACATAAAGAAGAACTGCAAGAATTCCAAGAAGATGGTGAATGATAGCACAAATGCAGTATCTCAAGAATCACAGGATGCACTATTATTGACTGTTCATAGTTTTGTTGAAGACTTGATATTGGATTTAGGGGCTTTGAATGTGGTAGGAAAGGTAGGAAATCTACCATAGGCCTCTACCATAGGCCACAGTGCAGGACAATGATGGAAGTGAAGAGGAAAGTGGGTCCGGGTCACCCATTCATATTGTTCCACCAACAGATGTTGAAGAACCATAGAACTATGAAGAAATCTTGCAAGATGAAAGTTCGAGCAAGTGTGAGCTTGCAGAACTTCTACCAGGGAAGAAGACATTGCACAATAAGTGGGTGTACCAGGTGAATATTGAGTGTGATGTCAGTAAGAAGTACAATACTAGACTTGTTGAAAAAGGCTTTCAGTAGAGGCAGGATGTTGCCAATGCAGTGGGAGTTGTAAGAAAAGACGAGTGACCCAGGAAATAGCTTGGAGGTGCAAAACTATGTGGAGTCTGCTGATATGCTAACTGAGGCTGTTACTCTCGAGAAATTGAAGTTTTGCACAGCTTCAGTTGGTTTTCTGGAGTGAAGATAGATGCTTTGAGTAGTAGAGGTGGAGGATTCAAAGTGGAGGATACATGTTGAAGAAAAAGGCGACATCGCTAATGGAGGATATCAGTTTGAGGAAGATGTTGCAGCTTGTGTATCGGTCTTCAAGTGGGAGAATTGTTAGAAACGGTGAAGCCCGGTCCACTATGCTTGGGCAGTTAATTTGCTTTGGAGAGTCACATCTCTTTACAAATAATCACTTCTGTCTTCCTCTTTTGTGAAGTGAAGCATCTCTTCATAGCATCTATTCGCTCCCTCCTATTCGTGATAAAAGCTTCGGATGGCTCTCCTTAGGTTTAGAAGTCACAGTTTGAGTTCTTCTTCGATTTCCTTGGGATAGAGGAAGGTTTCCTCAGGGTAGAGGAAGGAAGGTGCAAGAAGTAATTCCTTGAGTTGAAGAGAAGGAAGAAGAAGAAGATTGTTCTCCCTAGGCTTCTTCTTGGTGGCTTGTGACATAAGAGAAATTGAGTTTATTTTTCTTGTTAGTTTTTCTTCGGTGTATTTCGGTGTAGAGTTTCTTCGGTATATCTCAGTGTAGAGAGAGAAGAACAGAAAGAGAAGAAGAGAGAGAGCAACGAAGAGTGAGAGATTCATCTTGTAAGTTGAGGTGTTTGACTGTTATAAATTCCTTAAGTAGTAAAATACTCTGCAATTCTGTGGATGTAGGCAATTTACTGAACCACGTAAATCTCTATGTTCCGCTGTGTTGTTCTTTTTCTGGTGTGTGGTGTGATTTTTCTATTTTCTAGTTCTATTTTTCACTTCGTTGATCGTTCTCCTGTTTGATTTATATATATAACACATCAACTGATATATCTAGATCTCGCAACAACAACAACAATAATAATTGTCCGTATAGGTCGTAGTTGAAGACCGCAATGACATCAGTTAGTCATAAATACCAACACTAAAATTTAAAGTATTTGTTGGCCGAAAAGGTCGTAGTTGAGGGTCTCAATAGCGTCAGTTAGTCACAAAATGTCGTAATTAAAATTTGTAGTAATAATTAATCATATATATAGTAGTTGGGGACTACAATAGTGTTAAATGGCTATTAAAAATGTAATTGAAACTGTGGTAGTAACCTGCCACATAGGATGTAGTTAGGTGTTGCAGTTGGTAGTTGAATCCATTCTCTTTGAACGGGTTATAATTCTACATTGGATACTATATTTATCGATATGCAACATAAAGTAAGATACATATTTTATGAAGAACCAACACATTTTGGCTAAGACGGTCATAAACAGTGGTTGTCGGGGGCCGGCGATGGTAGGTGATGATTGTCGACGATGGTTGACAGTGATTAGTAGCCACAAAAACTGAAAGTTATCAACATGTCTTCAATACAATGTTATACATTACAACTATTTTTTAGGAAATTATGCTAGCTAGCATGGTTTGAAGACTATGGCGAGTAGCGGCGGTCAGTGATTATACACAAAGGACGACGAGCAATGGTCGACGGATTTGGAGGCCGTAAGTTATCACTAGGTCTTCAATACGATGTTGTATGTCATTGCAATCATATTTGGGATACATTGTTAGCTAACATGGGCCATTGAAAACGGTGAGCCAAGGTGGTCGATGGTAGTTTAGAGTGGCCATCAGGTGGTGGTCAATGGTGCTTGGTGACTCAGTAGAATGGAAGTTATCACCGATTATTTAGTATAAAATAACATTAGACTTCCTCCTCTTCTCCTCTCTTTCTCCCTCTCAAGTTAAGAGAGGAGGTCAATTCATAACATCCAAAGGAATGATATTCTTTGTCCTTTGGCGAATAACCTCCCCAAACACTAGATCAGACGGCTTCAATTGATCCCTTTTGATCATTTGGTGTTATTTTGATGATTGGAGGGTCTTAATCACATCTGAGTTAAGCAAGACTTGGCTCGTTAAATTTTTTCTTCGAGATGCTCAATATGAAAATAAATATGTCAAAGTCGGAGATCATTTGATAAGGTATGTTTGTCAATATTCCTAAATGTAAACATCAAGATTCCAATATCAGGTTTCTGATCACCTTGCAATTGTGTGGTATGTTTGTAAATCTCTCAAAATTTATTTCTCCTCAAACAACTCTTATTATTATATTGCTTTTAAGATTCTTCCAAATTCCAACTGTTTTTGTTTTTTAGAAAAAAATTATTTTTATATGGAAAAGATTTTCTGGTCTCTTGTTGTCTCCTCCTTTAAGCCGCGTTTCCGTACAAGTAGAGCGCGACAGATAGAAAACCGTTTAAAAGCTCCCCTCTCTGCTACTCCACCTTCCTCCTCTTCTGGAAAGTTTGCTTCCATTTTTGTTTCCTCTGCCATTTTATTATTAGGAAAAACAGTGATGAGGTTCACGGCTTTCTTCTCCGAACCGGCGGCGAGAGCCGTCCGCAGATCAGGCTTATGCAAGTTCGCCGTCCTCGTTGCCGTCAGGTTTCACTGTGTTTCACTCTCCATCTCCTTCTTTTGATCTATTGGAATCCTAATCGGGGAAATTGACCGATTAATTGCTTTGATGATTTATTTATTTTAATTTTCAATGGATACTTGTTTTGAAATTATATAAATAATCTTATTCATTGCATCAGTTGGATCGACGCTTAGATCTTATGTTCTGCATTTTTTTTTTGTTCGGAGATTTGTTTTCCCGGTGATTTTAGTCCTGTTAATGATGCAAGGTAGAGATGATTCTAAATGCGGACTCATCTGATATAGATCTACTCACTGCCATTCGATTTAATTTAGAGCCAAGATGGGCTTTTATATATATATATATAGTGAATATGTAATATATATATATATATATATATAGAATACAACACAGATTTAGATGAAAGAAAATAATTGATAATTACGCCAGAAATTTTTATGTGAAAAACCTAGAAAAAAAAAAACACTAACCTCTTTTAACTTAGCTGAAGAGTTTTACTATACAAAAAATGATTACGGTTGTAGCTACTTGTCCCACATGTGAGAAATATTATCAGGTTTCTCAAGTTACAACGTCGACGTTCTTATGAATTTGTTAGTAGGAACAGCCGGCGATCGACAGTGATTATCGGCATCCGGTTACCGACGGTCGACGGTGGTTGGCGGTGGCTATCGACATTCGAGGATGGTCTTCGGAGATGGGCAGTGATTGACAGAGATTGACAATGATCCACGACGGTCGAGGGTAGTCGATGGTGGTCAGTCGTAGTCGACGAAGGTTGACGGCAGTCGATCGAGATCGGCGAGAGTCGACGACGGTCAGCGGTCGTCAACGAAGGTTGGTGGTGGTTGATGATAGTCGACGATGGTGGTGCTAAAGTTCAGCTCATTTTCGAAGCTTCAAGTTCTTCCTCAAATTTCAAGTTCTCTCCCCCTCCAATTTCAAGCTTCAAGCTCTTCCTCAAATTTATTTATTAAGCTCCAGTGCAATTAATGCAGAAATATGAATCAGTTTGATTGAACGGTCCAAAGAACTTTCTTTGATAAGATGACATTTGATGGACATTTGAGTGCCCTAATGATGTTAAAATTGAGCGATCTTGCGCTTGCAGGATTTTTCTCGTCGAGATGCTTGATTCAACTATAAGCTTGCCAAATTTGACATTTATTTTACCTTTCATAAATGCTCGAAAAACTTCTAAAAACGATTTGATGACTTGATCTGAACTTGATTTAGTTTCGATTAGACTGATTTTGGTACTTTTGGGTCCGTCTTATCAGGTTGAACTTTTTTATTATAAATTTGTTGAAATCCATGCTATGAATAATTTTTTATTAAAATTTAAATATTTTTTTCTCAAAAGATTGCCTCGAGATCTATATCATGCCTCAATAGATTTGTTGATGACACATTAATGTATATGATTGTTCAATTGATCTCGATTATGGCTATAGCAACGCCTCGTTATATTCAATGTGCACTCACTTTTGTTTTTGATTGGCTTGTATGTACGTATGTATGTAGGTATGTATATGTTTGCGATCTTTTGCTTGCTCATTTTGGTATTAGATAACAAATTAAGTTTCATTTGAGCTGAATTGGGTTGTTAATTTCAATACGATCAAACAACAATTGAGATGTTTGAGTAGTTTTTAACATCCGATTAAAAAGTGTCGTTCAAGGCGTTAAGGCTTCAGCATCACGGGCGTTTTATGCATTGTTTTATTGTGCTCTATTAAATTGATATATTAAAATTTTGGAGGATTTGCATGGATAACCCCCAATTCCTATGTATTTAGATATTAACACTTAATTGTCAATTTTTACATATATGTCACCTTATCTATACAAAAAAAGGTGTATTTTACTTTTAAATAAAAATGATGGTATTTTTAATGTGATATAAAATATTTGAGTGCTACAAATGAAAAAAAGTAAAATTTAGGTGTTAGATATGTAAATATACAGGAATTGGATGGTTTGTATGTGTTTATCACAGTTATTTTTCTTATTTTTTAAATTATATTGTATTATTTCATTTTATTGGTTCAATTTTTCCTTCACATTGCATTTTTATTTTGAAGTCACTGAATTTTTTTTTTAACACCATGAAGGTAGAGTGTACTCATAAAACCATCTAATAAAATTATTTAATCTGGGTTGATGGGTAATTTAATTACGTACCTCATACTTATTGCTAATAATGTAAAAGTTGTCAAAATTACTTGC